TGTAAAGGCTACAGTGTTAGCTCTTTTATTTTAATTTATGGAATAAAGCATGAATTTTATTTAGATTAGTCTTAGCTTTATTTAAGGGAAGCAAAATATGCTTTGCCTTTATCACCACTGCCAACAGTTTTATGTGATAATACTTTCTCTTTAATTCTATAAACAGACATAATTTCTTGTTCAGTTACAATGTTCCGCTGTTCAAGTCCTATAATTGCTGTGTCGAGAATACCGATTAATTTGTCAATCAAAATTTTTTCATTTTCAATAACCTCTGTGTCACTTTCTTCACTATCAGAAGCGAGTTATAATGACGAGGAATTTGATTTAAATCATATCAAAAATGGAGTACATCGAGATGAAATACTACATTTCGTAAGGAATTATAAGCCAAATAAAACAAAAACATCTGCACTGAAGATAAGGATAGTGCTGACACATCAACTCTCAATTCATTGCGTGCCGCGACGTACCCCCTCAGCAGAGCAGCGCGAAATTGATAAACAGATTTCGGAAGGTTAGAGAAACAAAGGATATGCCTTTATCCATTTTTTGCAGCAATTCCACTTTTTGTTTGATGGACATCAAAACATACTTTCGCTTTGTAGATCTTTTGGCAGCTCCAGCCACGGAAATTCTATTTGACATAATCGAAAGTTCAAGCTTACTTTTATAAAATTGCTCTAACAGTCTGCAAAAAATAATAAGCCGGATCCAATTCGAAGATTAAGGAATAATGCAATCTGCAACATTAACTGAAATAGAGCTCAGCTTATGCCGTCCGTTATACATTAAATGCGCATGCGTAAATGCGTTTCTATGCGCATGCGCAGAAAGTTCGTAACTTTGAGGTCCGGATTAATGACTTTTGACTGTACTGGCATAAAACTACATAGAATTTTTACAAGATAGTTAAATTTTATGCCCCAAGACCATTCATGGTAATTAAGTCACTTAGAATGCAAGCACACTGCTCACCCAAAAATATAGAAAAGGCAAAATCAAGTTAAATCAAATTAAATTCGTCAATTCTAATGAGAATGCACTAGCGAAGTAAAATACTGTGGTTTTACATAATTTCTGAGTAAGCTATTCGTAAAAATTGAAATAATTCTTGCCTTTAAACTTGTATTCCATATTAAGATTTAACTTTAAATTAATGTACATAATTACTGCAAAAATTAGATGATTGTTGCGTAGTTTACGCGAGACGAGATCATTTGGGATCACATTACACGAACCGGCAAATCAGGATGTTGAACCATGAAAGCATAGTAAATTCTAAAATTAATGTCCTTTTAGAAAACTTTAAACCATATTAAAATGTTTATGCCTTCTAAAAAAAAAAAAAAAAATTATTAGAACTAACCTTTGTTAAATTTTTTTATGTGTATACTGAATGTTGTCGCCAACAAAGTGTGCTTGGCGGGATTTGAGCCGGCGAAACGGAAAAGTACCCATTTTTCATTTTTACTTTTGTGACTTTATGTGGCGATGGCAGTATACAGATTATAATATAGATAATATTAAATAGTTTTGGATGCTGTTAAGGAATTCTGTGTGTCTCACATACCAAAGAAACAGAAACTTTTATATAAGGTTAGTTGATACAGTCAAAAGTCGTTAAGTCGGACACCCATAATTCGGAATGATCTATAATACGGACCTCAAAACTAAAAACTTTCTGCGCATGCGCCGCGCCTACACATGCGCATAGGCGTTTACGCGTGCGCGTAAGACCTTTTACGACTGCGCATATGAGTGTGCGCAAGTGCAGAATACGTTTTCGCGTGCGCGTTTTATGTATAATGGGCGTATAAGCTAAAATTATCTAATTATCTATTTCAGTTAATGTTGATGATTGCGTGGTTCCTTAATTTTCGAATTGGATCCGGCTTATTATTTTTTGCAGACTGTAAGAGCAATTTTATAAAAGTAAGCTTAAACTTTCGATTATATCAAATAGAATTTCCGATATATATTTTGTTAATATGTAAATAAGGATCTAAAGCGCGAAAGTATGTTTTGAAATCCGAAATCTGTTTATCAATTTCACGCTGCTCAGCGGGGGGAGGGGGATCGCCGCGGCGGGCGCGTAATGAATTGGAAGTTGACGCTGCAGCAGGCGGGTAATGAATTGGAAGTTGATCTGTCAACACTATCCTTATCTTCAGCGCAGATGTTTTTATTTTATTTGGCTTATAATTCCTTACCAAATGTAGTATTTCATCTCGATATGCTCCGTCTTTGATATGATTTAAAACAAGTTCCTCGTCATTATTATTCGCTTTCGATAGCGAAGAAAGTGACAGAGGTTATTGAAAACGAAAAATTTCGATTGACAAATTATCGGTGTTTCTAGACACAGCAATTATAGGACTTGAACAGTGGAACTTTGTAACTGAACAAGAAATTATGTCTGTTTAATAGAATTAAAGAGAAAGTATTATCACATGAAACGAAGCAAAACTTAAACAACTTACATTGAAAGAAATGTTTAATAAAGTAAACAAATAAATATTAAGCTTTTTCTTTTTGCAAATTTTGATACCCTTTAGATCATAATTGTTCTTTATTTCATAAATTACGTTTTCATATTTTTAATTTTAGAATTTCTGCATGCCATCTTATGAGATTTAAACTGATGATCCATAATCCGGAATCGCCGAAGTCCCGACGAGTCCGGATTAACGACTTTTGACTGTATTTCCTTTTTGTATTGGTAGATTACATAACAAGTATTTACATTCTTATTTTATTTCCTTGTTTGATTTAAAATGCAATTTACTGAGTTTATATAATTTTTGTTTTAATTATATTTTGAATGCCAATTTACTGGGGAGGGCATTGGATGTAAACAGGAATGGCACCAAAAAATTGTAAATGTATACCCTGAAATATACTTTTAATGCTACAGAATTATAAAGTATTTGAAGAAAAAGAGTTTTGTGAGATGAGGAAAAATTGATGATCAAGCAGATACATCTTTAAAATATGAGAGTAGGGGGGGAAAAAAACTTCTTTCTGCAAATTAAAAAAACTATTTATTGAGGAACTAGATCAAATAAAGCAAACAAAATACATTAAAGCATATTAAAGATCAGTATCAGTTCAATATACAAGTTTAAACTTATAAACTACGTTTACAAATTTCATATTATCACATCAATTTACAATAATCTATAATTTCTAAATGAATTTCATTTATAAAAGCTAAAATCCATAATTTTAAAACTACTAAGTAAAAAAATTAGAAGTTCACAATAAGATAAGCAAAGATATACATCTTTAAAAAATGCAATTTAAAAAGCTATTTAATAAGCATCAGTATTCAATATACAAGTGAAGTGCTGTTTGTAAAAACTGCATTATCAAGAAAGAGCAATCAGAATTTTTGACAGACAATTTGCTTATCATGCGGCATGCCAATGACAACAAATTCATCTATAAATATAAATCAGTTGCAGGTACAATATCATTTGAAAGTGGGACTGCAAAAAACAAGTCTTGAATAGTTTATCAATCTACTGAATTTCCCCTAGTGTAAGACACACCTTGATTTTGAAACGTCAGAATCGGGGAGGGGGGAAATAGGTTGACAGACTGGATTACAATGTAATAAGAGAAAAATACTACATAAAGTTATTGAATTTAATATACAAATGTTTATTGTCAGAACTCCCATCCATTAGCTGAGCATCATCTGTGAACACCCTAAAGAACACAATACCATTATAAATTGCAGTTTTCCAGATGCATTGTTTCGGTTCATCTTCACTGTAGACTGTCTCATTCTAAAATGCATCAGAATGCATGATATTTGATTAACTTTACTCTGCAAGTATATGGAAACATCCCTTATTAGCAAACGAGTTATGAACAATTGACCAATTTTTAAAGGGAGAATTCATAGCAGTGCTCCACCATAAAGCTGTTCACATCCTAATATACATTGCCTGCATTCTCATGCATGCTGGCTGCAGCACAAAGGCAAATTTTAATGAGGGTGTCTTGACATAAAGGTGTGCGCACCCTTACAACAGGATGACACTTTAAACAAAAATAACAATAAAATGCACAACAGGTGCAGTTTACAATCTTTGAAACTGTCTTTTTGGACAATTTCAATTTTTATGATTAGCAATATGTAAAATAATGCAGAAAATTATGCTTGAAAGCCCAATGTTTTGATATTATACGATGATACCAATTATCTGCAGACAAGATGTTTATGCAGATTAAAAAACAATACCATCAAATGTTTTACAGGGTACTATTCGGTTTTGAGGGGTTACTATTTGTAAAAAATCGCCAAACTATGTTGTTGATGCCAAATATTATTGCGGCAACCATAACGCAAGAAAGGATGTATGATAGTAAAAAAACTATCTAAGATTGATGTTTTAATTTAGATGAAAAGTTAATTTAATATAATACTTTTTTATTGTTATAATTTATATTAAAAAGGCTAAACATGACTGAATGAAGAGTAAATAACTATTTCAGATCATTATAATTTATATAAAAATTGCTAAACATAACTGAATGGATACTTGCATCGCTATTTTTCTACCGAGTTATCGCTAAAGCATAATTTCATCTTGTTAGTTGTTCAAACACAATTTTCTATAACGAATGATGCTTTTTCTTTGAAAAAAATTCTCGGTAAAGTGCAGAATCGCCAACTTATTTGTTTGCCGCTTTTACAAGGGTAAAAACAATTGGATTTCTGTCAATTTTCTTTTACTTTTTAAGTGAAAATAGGTCGATGTGTACATAAAGTCAAGAGTGTGTGTAGTGCCATTTTTGTGCAATTCTGGGATATTTTTTTAAGTGAAAATAGGTCGATGTGTACATGGATCGCGTTAAGCAGTGGGTGATTCTGCACTTTACCCAAAATTCTATTGTAGACTTTTCGTCATGGCCAATTCCTAAATTATTAAATCCATCAGATATGAAAAAAGAATTTAAAAATTAAACTAGTATTTTAGTGGCGTCTTGAGAAATATAGAACTATATAAACTTACGCAATCTGAAATCAGCGCGTTTGCTAGATTTGGCGCTTTTGCGCATACATTTTCGCTGCAATTTTTTTACGATCCTCAAAACGGAATAGTACTTTCTACACTAACAGAGACAATCAGCAATTTGGATTGGCTCAATTACTTGTTATTCATAATATCCATTTTTTTACACATAAAACACCACACAGATAATGAAAGATAGCACTTTTATGTTAAGATCAATTTGACCTTAAAAGAAATTTAGATCAATATGAGAAAATGAAGGGATATAATTTTTTTTAGGGAATATAATACTAAAAAATACATTCTATTTGTTTCATAGCTGCCAACTTAAAAATCTCAAAAATTTTCTTATATTTTTATACTGAAAAATCCTGAGTAGGCTCTTTTTTTATCAAAGTAATTTTAATTACAATAATAAAATTTAAAATTAATCTTCATAGTATTTGTCTGGGAAAATTTAGTAAGGTACCACATATTAAAGTAATATAAAATCAAATACAAATATTACCTGATTACACATTGCTTGAATCTTCATATTAAAATCTATAAGTGTCTCGGATGAAATTAAATTTAATAAGATGAATAAAATGGAATATTGCAAATGAAATAAAATTTGGGTGAAGTGCAGAATTGCCTACTTATTTTGGTGCTTTACGTTTGGCACTTTTTACAAGAGTAAGAAGAATTGGATTTATGTCAATTTCCTTTGACTTTTTAAGTGAAAATACATCAATGTGTGACATGGACAAAGTTAAGGGAGTGCGCAATGCCTAGTTTGTGAAATTCTTTGACTTCATTTACCTTCCTGGCACCGATCTTGGCATATATATATATAAAAACCCACAGGGCACCCAAATGTAAACCTTTATCAAAAAATTATTCACTAGAGGTGGAGGGAGAAACGTTTTCCTTATTTAAAACTAAAAATTAAAAATTGAAACTGGAAGAACTGATTTAACAAGAGTTGGCAGCTATGTTTGCCCCAGCAATTCATTATCTCATAAAATGTAACTGTAATCAAACTACTAAAGGTTTAATCTATTTTCAAATAAAAAGATTTGAGATAAATAACAATGAAATGGATATGATACACCTTGCAGAATTTTCGCAAGTTAATATGATTGAACAAAGCAGTCAAAATGTAATACACCACAGTGAATTCAGCAGATTTTTTTTTTTTTTTAAATCATTCCCTTAATTTACAAAAGCAATAATCATTAAATAATTAAGTTAAAAAGCTGACAAATTATAACTTCAAAACAATCAATTAAAATTATGAAATTTTGAGCTAAACATCTTAACAGAACTTTGAAAGGTCTTTAATAAAGGTAAAGATTTAATAAGGTAGTCAAAATATAACAATGCATATTATATTATCAACACCAAAACAATCAAATATACACTTTTCAACTTTTAAAACAAATTCTTTCCATTAATGTATAAAATCAATATATTATTTATTTAATAAAAGAAACTAACTACAGAATAATCAAATTTATAAGTTCCTTTTCTATGTTTTTAGTTTATGTTATGACATATCACTGAATAGGTTTAGCTCTCTGCACAAAACAACTTAATGATGATAATGCCTCATTAAAAGATGGATAATGTTTAACTTCCTTTCTTATCCATTTTGAAAGTGAATTTAAGTGCCGTTCATTCTGGAACCGTTCATCAACAATAATCAGAGCACCAAAGTCATCTCGATGACGTATACATCGTCCCAGGGCTTGGTTTAAGGCCCGGAAAGCTTGGATTTCATACCAAGCTGAACCAGTCAATATATTCCTTTTCGAGGAATGCATATCATTATATTTTCGTTTCAGATCAACTTGTATATCTTTTATATTTGGGAAAGGAATCCCAATTGTTATCACAGCTCGTGCATTATTGTCTGCAAAATCTAATCCTTCACTTACTTTTCCACGACAGACTGCAAAAAACAAAGCACCATCAACTTCTCCTTCACTATTATTTTCAGTTCCTTTAACAGCATTGTAAAAGTCACCTATAACTTGGACAAAATCATTACTTTGACCACGAGGCTCACAGAAAACTTTTTTTCGCAAAGAAAGTTTCTCGAACAAGCCAGTTAACTCCCATCGGTTTATGAGCTTCTCGAGCATGCTGTATGATGGCAAAAAGCACAATATGCCATGAGGTACAACCATACATACTTGCAGAACTAAATTTCCTACATCATCCTGGAAAGCAAATGTTGAAGAATTCTGAAATGTTGCATTAAGCAAATTATTATTAGGTCCTCTGCCAATTGTGCCAACCCACACTTGGGTATTTGATATGACATGATTTGCTTCCAAAGTAATCTGAAATGGCATGCCTAATTCAGACTGGAATGATATCAAAGGAGATAATGTACCAGAAGCAACAATCAAAGTATGGATATCATCCTTTATATCAGAAAATGCAACAGCAGGATTTAAACACCAGAAATGCATGGTTAACTCTACACCACCAAGTGCAGAAGTTCGTTTCTTAGACTGCAGTTTGGACAGTTTTGATTTTATAACAACAAATCGATAATCAGGAACGAAGATCATATTATTGTAATACAGATAAGTCAAAGGCTGAATGAGACATTTCAAACAAGTAATAGTCAAACCAGAAATTTTAGGATCATCATTATTTAAAATGCTATTTTCATCCTTTGATTCATTTTTCTCAGCAAAGATTTTACTAAATTTAATTTTAAATTCATCAAAACTTTCAGGCCCCAAACCAACATAATTTAACACAGCAATCATATCATTACCATTCCAGACTTTAGCAGATGAATCAAATGATGTGTATTCTGATAAATTATTTGAATTTAATTTCAACCAATCTGCCAGGTTTGTTAAAATTTTGGCAACATACAGATAGCATTCTGGAATAGTTTGGCTTCGCTGTCCCATTTTTTGTAAATCAGTAATCGAGTCAGTAAGTTGAGACAATGTAATACTACTACTGGCAGCTTCTCTTGCAGAATCCTCCAAGTTATGAGCTTCATCCATAACTACTATAGTTCCTTTCAAACTAATATCCAGAGCTGACCTAATAAGAGGGTCAACTAAATAATTATAAGGACAAAATACAATATCTGCAGATATAAGTAGTTCTCGAGCTCCATAGTACGGACAAGCTTTAGCACGTCTACAAACACCTACAAAATCTTCTAAATCAAAAGCAGATAATAATTTTTTTGAATTGTAATGGCTAATCATTTTAGAATTCCTAAAATACCTACATCCTGGGCCATTTTTATCGTGAATCAACTCCTCACATGCTTCATTTTTATTATCAGTTCTTGAAACTTCAGGATGAATACATGTTCTTTCCCGACTAGACAAAATTGTCATCTTTACGTCTTTATACGGTGTTTTTCTCAGTTCTCTTATAATCTGTTCAATCTGCTTATGAGTACGTGTTCCAAAATATATTCTAGGAAGCTTCCGCAGAACTCCATCATTTGCAGTTTGACCCTCATACTTTACTTTTGAGGTACGAACTGGACTGGATGTGCTATTAATTTCAGTATTCTGCAACAGTTCATCGTTTTTTGATGTAAATATGTCTGAATTTAATATAGGAGAGTGCAAACGTGGACTGCTAGGTGTACTATTTTTTTGCAAATGTGGACTGTTAGATGTAGAATTACCTGATGGAGAATTAGACAACCTTGAAATTGATTTACACTTTTTAACAGGCTGAAAGTCATCCATATCTTCCACATTATCAATATAAATTATACCTCTCTTTTTATTCTTCTCAGCTGCATATCGTGAATTCTTTATTAAACGATCTAATTTTTCTGCTTCTTCATTACTTGAGGTATCTGCAGGTTTAGAATCATCATTTATATTATGCTTTTCAAGTTTTTCTGCAATTTCTTTTTCTGCCTGATCAAAATTATCTTGAATTTTATTTCCTTCATTTAGATGCACATCTTCATCCAGTATTACACCGCGTGTGTTTAGTTCTCTTTCTAATTCAGCTTCCATCTTCTTGATTTCCTTTTTAGTTTTCTTCTGCCAAGCTAGACAAGCACATAATAAAGCGAGACTCTTTCCGCTGCCCGTAGGAGACTCCAACAAACAATTAAATTTTTTATTTAAACATTTTATAATTTTATCCATCATACAAATTTGCGATGGATATGCTTTGTACGGAAATAATATAGGCACACCACCAATCGTATAAGCCTTCTCGGAACTACACCCATTTGAACATTCCCCATTACTTTTATTAATATTTCCCTCATTCTCTGAAGCATATGTTTGAAACATTTCACTTTACGAAAACAATTATTTCTTCAAACGTTTCTTCATACGGCTGTGATAAAGACGGCCATTAAATGATTTCGCGCCAAAATGATCACGTGCCCCACTACGGCGAACCACGCTATCTGAAACCTAAAACCATAACATAAACATTCATATAAACTATATAATTTATATTTATTTTGTTTAATTTTTAACAACTTACCAGTCTATCCCGGTCAAGAACGAAGAGACAAACCGTTCTATCATAGCTACCAGAAGCCAGACGTCTTCCGTCAGAATTCCAGTTTATTGAATGAACCTTAGAAGAATGAGCTTGATATTCCTTTATTCTACTATTATTTTGAAAATAAGTTCTCATTGTTTCAGCATATGATGTGCCTAATGTCATTTTGTCTTTCAATTTGTGCCGGTAACAGAACTTAAAAAATAAAAATTATTTACAGCATTTCTTTGCTCACTTCAGTTCATTAAATCCAGCTTTTGAATAATCGGAGCATCGCGAATACGTACGTTCATAACTGAAGTAAATTGTATCAGATGAACATATATTTAATTAAAAAAAAACAGTAAAATTTACGATAAATTTGTGAATATTTTAATAGTTTAAAATAAAAGTAAGTTGACAATAAATCAAAATAATAAAAAGTAAGTAACCTTTGTTAATAGATTATGCAATGAAACATGTTTTAGGTGCATGAAGCTTATTACCGCTCGTTTTAGGTTACGTTTCTTAGGACTTACGTTTCTCGGGACCAAAGTTCTGCTAGTATAAAGGGGCCGTTTCTTCGAACGTAAAAAGTAGCTTTAATATCTAATTACAAGTGTAAAAAAGAATAATTTTCATACTGATTTACATCTGTTTTGAACTAGTTAATTTACAGAAATATACTTACATGTATGGATATGATGTGTTGATAAATTTATACTCCTTAGAATGGCTTGCATTTGTTTTAACTACTTAAGTTCTTTTTGACCTTCAACAATCTGGCAACATATTTTATTGCTACAATAATGGCGTCTGCAATTTGTCGCGTTCGGTGTGCGGCTAGTACATTATTTAGTTCTACATATAAGAAAATTTCATATTTTCCCAAAAATCCTTCAAGAACTTATTTAGTCCCATGCTTCAATTCATTTCTAATATTAAATTCTAACAAGGAACCTGGTCATACATGTGTTAAAAATAAGGTAAAGGTTAAACTGGGTTATTCGGCGAATTTTCTCTGATTTTTTATGGTTGGAAAATGTACGAATTAGAAGAATTTAAATTTTGGTTTCGATGATAGTTACGAATAGAACATGTTCCATATTCATACTAGTGTCAAATATGTCGGTTATGGTTGTTTGCTGTGTGGTGAAGTACTGAAATTTATGCATTTAAACTACACTCAGAAAGTATCATCGCGTATCATTTTAGTGTTCTAATAACTTTTAGAACTTGAATCGGGTAAAATTTCATCAACTTTATTAGCATTATGGGAGATTCATCAATCATTATAGCTTAAAAATCTTAAAATTACAATTAGAAAATGATGAATCAAAATCATGAAATCTTAAATTGCAATTAGAGTTTTATCTGTGTAAAAATAAATCCGTTTTTCTAAAATTTTGTCATTGCTAAATTCTAACAGACAGTGAGTAACTGTAAACTGAATATGCTGAAAATAAAATAGGGGTTAATTTCAAGAGTTTTTTTTTAATGAATTATTTTTATTTTTTGAAATTATGAGTTCTTTTCAACACATTGTATTACTGGTTTTACTTTTATCAATATCTGAAGCAACTAGTGTTTTAAAACTGAAGTGTTGCATTATATAGTCTTTTCTATTATAAGATTCAAGTTTCTTATTATCAAGAAGATAACAAATTTCAAAATGTAGAACTGTCTGAAATAACTTGCATTACGTACTTTTTTAACATTATGAATATGTTGACAGATTTATTTATTTTGGTATTTTATTTTTATTGAAAGCTGTGAATATTTAAAAATATGTTGACGTTTATGTAGTGTATGTAAAAGACAGGTATGCATTTTGTTGTAATTGCAAAGTGTATTGAAATTTTTATTTTTTTAGGCTATCCTAAGCTATGATTTATCTATATCCAGAAATTTTTGTGTTGATGCAAAACTTACCAAAGAAGAGATAACTGAAAAAGTTATGCATATTTGCAAGTCATTTGATAAAATTCCTTCGGACAAGGTAAGATCTGTGTATTATAAAAGACTGAATTGCACTCTGATTAAAACTGTGTTTGAAGACTTTAATTGCTTAAATGATATTTCAAGTGGAAAACATTAACAGAGCTTTTTAAGTTTTTCAGTATTTAAAAGATGACAAAAAACACAAAACAATCCAAAGAACAATACATGCCCAAAATGGGGGGGGGGGCTTGCTTTTCTCTCCTTAATGCTACAATCAAGCTTGTGTAAACATTAGATGAACTTGTTTTTTTTTCTACGCCTTTCAGCTGGTTTGTACCAGAGCCAGGTGAAAGAATGAGAAATAATTGTTTTCTTCAATTTTTGGTGTTTAAGTTTTTTGTTTCCTTAATCAAATCGATGATGATTGTGTGTTTGGGAGAAATACCAGCTTACCTATAGAACCTCGTTTGCAATTTTTAGGCTAGGTGACCAAAATATGTCGCCAAGCCATGGAAAAGCAGTTAAAATTGAAAATAGAAGTTAGAATGTACATGTTAAGCAGCCAAATTTAAAATATAAATTTAGGATATATATTCAAACAGTAAAATTGAAAATGCATAAGTACATAGAGGGATAGTTTAACCAGTAGAAGTGAAAATGCAAGTTTACAATTGGGAAAGCAGTTAAAATTGAAAATACAAGTTAGAATGCATGTTTTAAGCAGAAAAATGTAACATGGAAATTTAGAATATATGTTTAAACAGTAAACAATAAAATTCAAAATACATACGTGGAGGCATAATTTAAGCAGTGATGTGTCAAATACAATTAAAAACACAAGTTAGAGTGCATGGTTTAAGCAGAAACATTTAAAATACAAATTCGGAATGTATCTTTAAACAGTAAAATTGAAAATGCATAAGTACATGCAGACATATTGAGAAGAGTAATATTGAGAATAGAAGTTTTAAGCTATAAATTTTAATATAGAAGTTCAGAATACATGTTTAAATTAAAAATAAAGGAAGGAATTTTTATGTAATTTTTACATCTGTGCATCATGGAAAATTCTCGAAACTATCCCAATAATTCTGAGCATATATGACTTATTGCTAATAAATATAGTATTTCATGCCACGGTACATAAATATTTTGTAAGCCACATATTTCAAATGTCTTCTTTTCGTCTCAGCCATGGCTGTTGAATTTTGAGCTTATTTCAAATACAAGGGAAATCAAAACTAATGTTACAAAAAGAAAACTTACTTGTAACTACTATAATGAACTTGTTTCACAAATGCAGGTATAATATGATTGTTTAATTCTCCAAATTTCTATGGACTTGCACAGACACTGTAGAAGTTTATATGATAGTTTACTTCTTGACTTCTTGCTACACATGTATATGCATCCATTATATTCAAATTGCTAACTGTAGGACCTATAAAGACTATATCAATTGACTTATTGTTTTGCCTTAAATTTCTTAATAAAGTAACACCAACTGAGAGGAAAGAATAAAATAAAATGTTTTTTTATTTAATCTTCAGCCTAATGGTCTGAAATCCTTTATTTAACCTGCTTCCTTTGAAAATCTAAGAATAACTGCTGATCTTGACATAAATGAAAAAGGAACAGCCTATTCGCTACACCAGGTTTTTCTAAAGTCATCCTACTATTCAAAAATTAAAACTTTAAATTTCCCAGTAACACTCTCCAAATCTTGTCAACAATGCTTAAGACGGATGGCATCATAATCAGAAAATATAAGAAAATTGGAATAAAAGAAATTAAACAAACCAGTTCATGGAGAAGAAACTTCTTCTGCTGCCTCTATGAAGAAAATAACATTTTTCAGTTTAAAATACTTGGGAATGCAACAGGATTGCTGAGATAGAGTATTCTAGAATTTGCTGAATTATGATAAACACAACCATCCGAAAAGTGCGCCAAACCAAAAAATCGGCAATGGGGTCCTATATTTGAGCTGTGCGAAAACAATTGCCCTAAATTTTGAAAGTGTGTAATAAAGCAGGACTATTTTTACTTTTAGTGAGTAGCATGGGCAATTGAATGAATGCTAGTGAATATATACACATGCATTACGTGCATAAGTAATTACATCATCGTAATTCTTATGCATGATGTAAGTGATGAAAGTTGTTAATTTTGAGTATTTAAAGATATTCAGTGCTGTATGTATACAATGGATGAGAAAAGTATTGGCGGTTGCTTATATTTAAATACAGTCAAAAGTCGTTAATCCAGACTCATCGGGACTTCGGCGATTCCGGATTATCGATTTTTCCGGATTATAGATCATCAGTTTAAATCTGGTAGGATGGCATGCAGAAATTATAAAATTAAAAATATGAAAACCATAATTTATGAAATAAAGAACAATTATGATCTAAAGGGTATCAAAATTTACAAAAAAGAAAAAGCTTAATATTTATTTGTTTACTTTATTAAACATTTCTTTCAATGAAGTGTTCAATGCGTAAAGCATAATACTTCTTTAATTATTAACAGAAATAAATTTTGTTTAGACAAATCCATATGTGTCAAGAATGACTTATTTGAAAATTTGTTTTCATTGAAGCGAGTTATATGACGGGAATTGATTTAAATCATATCAAAGACGGAATCATCGAGATGAATACTACATTTAGTAAGGAATTATAAGCCAAATAAAATAAAAACCTTTGCCTGAAGATAAGGATAGTGCTGACAAATCAACTTCCAGTTCATTGCACGCTGTTTCCCCCCCCGCAGAGCAGTGTGAAATTGATAAACTATTTCGAAATGATTAGAAATCAAAGGATATGCTTTTCCATTTTTTGCAGCAATTCCACTTTTGTTAATGGACTTCGAAACATACTTTCGCTTGTAGATCCTTTACATTAGTAAATATATCGGAAATTCTGTTTGACATAATCGAAAGTTAAGCTTACTTTTATAAAATTGCTCTAAAGCTCTGCAAAAAATAATAAGCCAGATCCAACCGAAGATTAGGAACAACGCAAGCTGTAACATTAAATGAATTAGATAATTTTAGCTGTCTTATACCGTCCGTTATACAAAATATACATTGTAAACATATATGTGCATGTGCACACGTATATCGCAGCGTAAAGTCTACGCGCACGCATAAATGCTATGCGAGCGTCACAGCGAGGCATCTGCAGAAAGTTTGTAGCTTTGAGGTCCGGATTATAGATCGTTCCGGATTATGGGTGTCCGAATTAACGACTTTTGACTGTATATTACTTATCTAAGGAAATGAGCACTAATTCAAGCAGTGTGTAATGGAATAGAAAGACAACAAAAACTCAAATGTAATGAAACTGTTATTTTAATATGCCATTGAGAAATAAAAGGGAAACAAAACATAAATGTTTAATAATTAATGGCAAAATCGTCCCAACATGTGGGACAAAAAGGAGATATTTAATACTTTGTATTCATACCTTTTGCATTTAAGACTGCTTGCAGTATGTTCTTCATTGATAAAATCATAGTTGTATCATTATATATTTTTTGGCGTTCTTGCAGGAGTATTTGCTTAGGCTCCTCTTTAGATAAATATTTTTTGTTTCCAGGCGATTAGGTCCAATTGATGCCATAAATTTTCAGTTGGTTTTAAGTCTGGTGTCTGAAGTGGAGTTTTTGACTGACGAGGCTTATTTTAAAGTAACCATTGTTTCATACACTGTATGCTTGGGGTCAGTATCTTTCTGGTTACTTCCTTATTATAGTGGCCCCTAGCCTTACACAGCTATGATTTCACCAAACATATAAAGTGCAAATGTAAAAATAAAAATACACAGTATATAATAGTAACAACAATACCTAGATGTTATATGCTAAAAATATTTTTAGTAATCACTTAAGTGACTGTAACCATCTTCTTTAAGTTGCTATGTTTTATATTTCTTACGGCAGTCGCAATAGATCGTTCATCCATCTTGCACATGCTGAATAATTTTCTTCATTAATGTACTAGCATTTGTATTCTAGATTTGAATGACAAAGTGCTCCCATCTTTCCAGCATATTTCTCCAAAAATCCACTGTTCTTTTGTCAAATGAACAAACTATTGTAAATTTCTATTTTAATGGGGCTGACAATTAGCCCATTGATTCTTTGTATCAGATGTAGGGAATATCGATACTCTTCTGCTGCTGGGATTGGATTCAGAAACAATGTGTGTGTGTACATGCTCACATTTATGTACATTCACAATTACAAATGTATGCAGGAATGTTATACATGCATGAAGGAACACAATCATCCGTACATACATGTATACATACATACATTTCTGAATCTGGCCCTAATAATAGAAGAGTGCTGGAACATTTCCTTCATGTGATTGTTAAAATATTAAGCTGCTTGTCACAACATTTGAAGGACGTCAGCTTTTCTGCCCAAGAATACATAAATCTATCTACCTCTTTATTTGGTAAATTGAAGATTTTTAACTGCATGCTCACAAAAAGGCAAGGAGTATTTTTAAAAAACCAATGCAAATTCAAAAATCTTTAGCAAAAATGAAACATGATGCTAATATAAGAACACATGGTGAGATATCTTGTCTTATCAGCAGTTCAATCTTGGGAGTTGTCATAATAAGGAAGTATCTTCTGTTGAAACACAAATGATGTCCACAAACCAAAGTTTTGAGCACTTGCCTTTAAGTTACAGTGGCAGTATGTCAATGCACTTAGTTCTGTCGTTTTAATATCAATTAAGTAGAGGTCACCAACTCCATTTGCTGCCATACAGCCCCAAACTAAGATGCTCCTTTTTCTCTGTTTCAGAGTAGGTGTTACATTTTGCGTTTAAAACTCAGTATTTGCCTTACTGCGTACATATATTCTAGCACTCTAAAAAGTGTTGAATTCTGTTTTGTCTGAGAATATGACTATGAACTATGAGAATATGCCAAAATTCTGCTGGTTGATTAACATTAGCTTTTGAAAAGGTCAGTCTTTTTCTCTTGTTCCTGAAACAAAAGTGTCTCTCTCCCTGTTCTTTTATAATAATCACTTTGTAAAATTTAATGTTCATATAAAACATATTTAATGTCAATGCACTAAATTTTTTTGACATATTTCATCACTTTTCAGTTTTACTGGGGTGTATCTATTTTGAGGTTTTTCTTGATTTCTCTGCTGTTGAATTTTTCCTTTGTGGAAGATATTTGAGGCCACCCAGTTCTAACCTTCATTTCTACTGAATCTGTTTCTTGAAATTTTTTCACTACACTTCTAACAGTAAGTAATGTTTAGTTGCTCTCCCATAACGCAATATATTAAGCCTTCATTTCTAAGATAAATAATATTTTTAATACTGCAATACAAAGTCCGCAATCCGGATGTCCATTATCCGGAATGATCTATAATCTGGCCTCAAAGACACAAACTTTTTTTTTGTATGCTTTACACATGTGCATTGAGAGGATGTGTCTCCAGATACGTTAAAAAATGTTTGCCGTAATTTATGGACAGCTTCCATATTTCATGGTGCAGACGATGATGATGATAGCCGCGAATTTGAAGGTTTTCGGACTTTGCAAACTAAAGCTGAAACTTTCCAGTTATTGGATTTTGCGGATTAAAGAAATGTGGAGAAGCGGTAATAAATGAAGATGATATAATGAAAGTTTTTCATTGCGACAACAATGCCCCAATCATCAATCAATTAACGGACAGCGAAATCTGTAGTAAGGTTCAAGATCCAAAAAATACCACTTCCGATAGTGAAGAAAGTGACAGAGAGGTTATTGAAAACGAAAAAAATTCGATTGATAAGTTAGTCGGTTATTCGCAACACAAATTACAGGACTTGAACAGAACTTTGTAACTGAACAAGAAATTATGTCTGTTTTATAGAAAAGAAGTATTAGCACAAAAACAAACCAACTTAAACAACTTACATTGAAAAAAGAAATGTTTAATAAAAAACAAATAAATATTAAGCTTTTTTTTGTAAATTTTGATACCCTTTAGATCATAATTGCTCTTTATTTCATAAATTTTTCAATTTGTATTGTATAATTTCTGCATGTCATCTTACCAGATTTAAATTGATGATCTATAATCCGGAAAAACCCCTAATCTGGAATCGCCGAAGTTCCGATGAGTCCGGTTTATGAACTTTGTACTGTAATGTTTGACTCCAATTTTCAAGGCAGTTGTTTTCCCTCAGCCTTCAAAAAATTATTTAAGGATTTTGAAGTAAATTCTTAAATAATTTTTGTTATAATGTTCACGTGGCAAATACCCACATGGAAGAAAGTGCATATGTGTATAAAAACCCACACTGTTAATAGCCTACAATGATAAAAGTCCACACTGATTAAACCCCATGCTGATAAAAAGGACACATGGTTTTTTTAAATATAAAATGTATTTATGGTTTTGATTGTAATAAAAGGAGTATTTGAGTCTAATTTTTGATGTCACAAAATTATGTCTATTTATATATCTGGTTGTAATGAAAGTTTTCGGTTAATCTTTGGATTATGGTAACTTGGCGATTTTTTTGGAACTATGGCTGGATTTTCTGAACATATAGTGCTTAATATGACAAGATTAGGGGTGAAATTGGGAGAAAGTGCAGAATCGCAAATTGGTTGCGCAAATTTTTAAGAATCACATACACAGTATTCCATGACACGTCACCTATTTCACTTAAAAAAATCCAGAATTGCAAAAATATGGATGGCACCACCATGTAACTTGCTAAAAGTCCTAGCTAGTACTTTATTGCCTTACCAAAATGTCGCCAAACTACCTGTTACATATTCAAGATAGCCAAGTTTTCTGCAGCGCATTTTAATAAGTTAGGGGGGGACCTAAAAGCAGTATCTTTAATGCACGTTGTAATCACAACCCAAATCTATGATTTTCTGGGAATGTTTTGGTAGTTTTTCAATGCCTTCAACCAGAAACTTGGTGACCACAAGTCCAAAAACAAATCGATCTCATTTCGGACATACTGTGGCAAATGGAAGATAGCGCCAGTAGATGTACCGGCAAGTGTGCAAAAAGGTAGAATTCCAAAAAAGCGATGTCGTGGCTATATGGTGGGTGTCACAAAAGATCCCATTCGAGTCCATACAGATACAGTATTCCGCCAGTGAATGCAGACACATGTAATTTTGCATTATCTTGGTGGAACATTACCTTTTTGTGCCAGAACTCAGTTTGACTTTTTCCTTGATATCAGTGTCAACATGAAGAGCATTTCGTTGTACACCTCATGTGGAGGTTTCACCTTTTTCTCAATACTCTTTTTCATACAAGTTATAATTAGGTCTAGAATTTTGTCATTGCGTTGATATTCGAGGGGATTAGTGCAGCCTGGAACACGTTTGTCCTTATCTACTAGAATTAGCTTGTACGGGAGCCAACGATTGAACTTGTACATGAAGTTTGTATGATGCATAGTGCAACTAATGGACATGGCACTAACATCATTAGTAAGCTCTTTAGTGGTTGCATACTGATCTTCTTCCACAAGTTCTTGCAGGCGGGCCTCATCAACATCAGTAAGCCGGCCAAAGCACTCTGCTTCTTGAATGTCATAGTCCTTGTTTTTTTACCTTTTGATGGTGACCTTCGCAGTGTCATATGATACATTAGTACCTAAAACTCTACATGTCATTTTGGCATGTCATTTCAGAAAAAGTCAGATTTTGTGTCAAAGTACCTGTATTAGAACAATGCTATATGTAAATCTAATAAGTTGCGCTTTAAAGACGGGGGAAAACTCAAGTAGAATTTTGTCAATTGGCCCAGTAGAACGGGAGCTATAGAACTGTCCTCCCCTTTTTTGTGTGCAGTGTACATTACAAGTACAGTAATTTACACTTATTCAAGTACAGTAGTTCTCTTCTAGAACATTGTCATGAAGCTCCAAACTTTGAATTTTGGCCTGAATTTCTTGTGCCTGTAATTCGTGTAGAACTATTGGACATATCTAGCAGTAGAACTCTTTTGAATGTGCACTTTTCTTCTCTATTCCAGCTTCCTTCTCTGCCACCTTATAATACATTCATACACAGCTAGCTATCAGTGACTTTATCTAATCACTTTTTCACCAAATCTTGACTTCTTGCAGATTATTGTACTCTGATCACTCTTTTCATACCATTTGGGCATCTATCTTCTGTCTGTAGAAAGCCCTTGAAATTCTTCACTTTTTTTTTTCCTTCTTACACATGTCTTAGGGATCAAAATGTTATGCCCTGTAATTCTATTATTAAACCAAGTGTTGATTAAATACTGAAGAAACAGAAAGTTGTTTAAAAAAAAACTGTTAAGAGTGACAAAAAGCTATAAAAATTATTTATTAAATTATTTATTATTAAATTAATTATTTATTTTATAAAAATTATTATGTCTATTATATATATTACATATTGAATTATGAGGACTCTAAACAGACATAGACTTATCTGTCTACTGTCTGTATACTTTATTTGAGTTGTACTCTAGCTGGACGATTGACAGTAAGTTTGATTTGCGATCTTAACTAGGGCTTGCATTACAAACATTCCAGAAAATAATGTTAGTTAGTTTACTATGTAATGTGATGCTAAATGACCTTGCCTTTTTATATTTTGATGTTGTCAGCTATGATATGTATTTGTAAAATTAAATACAAGTATTTATTGTGCTATTCATTGGTTCCTTGTGGATGTGTATATTTCTCCCTCTTGGTAATTAATATTATTTTCCATTTTCAGTTAACTCTAGAGTCTCACTTCATGAATGATTTAGGGTTAGACAGTCTTGATCATGTTGAACTAATTATGAATGTTGAAGATGATTTCAACTTTGAAATACCTGATGCAGATGCAGAAAAATTATTGAGGCCCAAAGATATTGTAGAATATGTAGCTCAAAAAACCCAGTCCAGTTCCAAATAGTAGTAAAAATTGGTAAGTTAATGATTAAAAGTTTCTAAGAATTTTTGCCACTCTTGGAAGCATTATGAAATGAGAAATTGCATGTTTAACTGTAAATAGTGTTTGTTAAATTTTTCTTGAATTGGTGACCAATGTAAATGGCTCAAAATCTAACCTTGAAGATGGCAACTCTGATGATACCTAAAGCTCCATGAGGGAAAAAATAAATTAAAATATACAAGAAGTAAATAAGTAAATAAAGATAAATGAAAACTATGTTTTACAAGAATAATCTCAGATTACTCAGCAGGCATAAAACTGTTGATATCATTTAACAGTGCTGAAATCATATGCATCTTTTTATATAATTACCATGACAAATTTAATGAAATAGAAATTTTCATGATGACCGCAGTGGTCAATGCGATGCTGATATTTATTTCGCATTTTGCACATGGCATCTCATATGAAGAACAATAATATTGCATTTGCATGCAGCTTGCAGTTCTGTTCTGGCAGCTGTGAATTTGTCTTCACTGAAGCAACAGAAAATCTAGCAGGGAAAATTCCTTGATTGATTTTTCTTCCCACTTTCTTTCCAATGATGTCATTATGCAGTTATCCGCGACATGATATAATCAGGCTACCACATTTGTTTCTGTAGCTTTTACATTTGATGATTAGTGCCTCGTTAACAGAAAAGTAGCAATTTTTTCGTATTCAGTTTTATTTTGTTTTTTAAATGAAAGTTCCAAGTTTAAAACTGATAGTATGTTGCAGATAAAATAGTAAATCGAATGTATACACGTCACGTCTATCAATAAATTTTTTTCATAATTTATATTAACAAAATTAAAAAAAAAACTTATGAATAGAAAAATTAAAAAAAATGAGGATATGCATAAAATTTTTCCATCTTCTTGCCATTGCAATGCTGAAACAGATAATTTTTTTCTAAATGCAAGAAAATAATTTGCATGATCGACCAAGATATAACAGATTTTATTCACGTGATTTATGAAAGATGGGACAGGTAATATTTAAAGGCATGCCAAACCTTAAATTTTCTTGAATCTAAATCCTAAAAGGTTCTTAAATCATTTGAATCAAATCTCTTAAACCTTTTGCATAAGAATGAGAAGAAAGGGGGAAGAATAGGGAGGGGGGAAAACTGTGGAATAAATGCTGAATATTTTTAATTAAATCAAAGTTTTAAATCAGTATTTAATGAAAAATGAACATAAAAATATAGTTTTTTAAACTCATATTTTAGAAGAAAATGCAAGTGAAATTTGATTAATGAATTTAAGCATTAAAGGTGGATCCTGAGGTATGTCTAGAAAATTAAAGGAATTAGAGAATGCAGTTAACATTTCTTAGGTTAGGACTCAAATAATGAAAAAATTTTGAATCTCAGCTCTTTTTCAAAGTTCATGGGATTTTAGCATTTGATTGACCTCTTCCCTTGTAATTTTTCTTCAGAGCTCATAAGGCTAAAAAAAAAAAAATAGCGGCCGAGCGGTAAAGTCGCTGAACACTGGTAGTTCGGTCCGAGGTTCGAATCCCGCGAACGGGCTGGCTGCATGGGTGTTTTCGTGGTTTTCCCCATGTGTAACGTGTATACGAGCCAGTTTCCCTTAGAAAGTCCTCCACGAAAGGCATCCCTCCTCTTAGGCAGATAGCCCTAGTGTGCTTTGCCATAATTAAATACACACCATAAGGCTAAAAGTATTAGAAGGATTACAATTTTAAAACTGGCAAAAAATATTAAAATGTGTGTAAAGTTATAAAAATTAGCATAACATAATTAATTGCAGTCTAAAAAGTTAGTCTAGTAGTGCCTTAGTGAAGAGCTTATTAAAAAATTTAAAAAAGTAATTATAGTGAACAATTATATAGAGTATGTGTTTCTGGGTCCTAAACCTTGTTTTCAATATTTTGTATTACACTCTCCAGTAGAAATTTTACATTCATGTAAACCATTTCAGTGCTCAAATGCATATGGACTATCATTATCTGTGACATCTTGTCATTTATCAGCTAGTTGTATGATTTTTGTCTATATAACTAAAACACCAGGGCAGAATTTATTTGAAGATTGTTGCCCTTTTCCAAGAAGTGAGGGAATTATTTCTTTAGCATGTTATGGAACACCATTTTTCTCTTTCATTGATATGCACAAAATTTCCAAATTTGGTTAGATGAAGTGTTCTAAACTCTGCTGGTTTAATGTAAGCAGCTTCATTTATATTTATTCATATGCATTCCCTTCGGTAAATCTGGCTAGGCACAAAGGGCTCCTGTCTACACTGCAGACACTTTTGAACTTTGATAAGATATCTAGTTATTGAAAGAATATCAAATTTATATGCATTGGCAGTTAAAGCAAATGCTACAATTGTTCTAAGATGGTAGCATTTGTGTAGGCAAACAGATCTAGTGGTAATGGGGAGCTTCAAGAACACTGGTCAGGTCACAAAAGATATTGCTGAGGCTTCATCTCATCATATTGATGATTGCTGCAATCTGAAGAGGTTAGAGCAGTAGCATGCTTCTTTGATGATATCTTTAAAGCTGCTGGTGAGGAACTAGTAAATGAAACTGGAGTCTTTAGTTTCAGTGCAAGCTTATTGATTAAGAAGGATCACGGGCAAATAATGGGAGGAGATTAATTTTATGAGCAAACAATAATTAAATGAGATGAATTAGTTAAAAAATACTAAAATAATTAAGAGAAGAAAATTAATCCGTTAAATTAAGTGCCACTCTTAGGTACAAAAAATTGAAGAAAGGTAACATTTTAGAGCGGCAGCATTTGTTGATGACTCTCTAAAATACTGACTACTCAAAATGCTACTTGTCTTTCACATGCACTGAGATATTTTGCCATTCAGGTTACCTTGTACCTGAATTCTTTTTGTGCAGATTCTGAAAAATTGTTTTTGACCTTTTTCTTTTGAGCATTGAATATGTTGAGGTCTGGTATGTTCAGGCTGTTAACTTTTCTGATGGAATGATTTATGGAATGTTTGGGTAATTTTTATGATGAATTCCGTGATGGTTAGAGTGCTAAATTCCTTCTGAATTATTGTATTCCAAAGGCAAATAAATAAAAGGCATTTGGTAGCATGTCTGATAGTAGCATTTTTCACTGTTTAAATTTTAGTAAATTAAAGTTACTATATTCCCAGACAAGGTAAACACAACTTAATATGGGACATTACATGGTTTTATAAATGAGTAATTTGTGATCATTAACTGTATCATTGTTTTGAGCAATTTGGGAAACGTGAATATAGCTTTTGTTGGCTCGAAAACTTGGAAATAACATGTTTTATATAGGGCTTCCATGTCAGATTATCAAGGATAATGCCGAGATATTTTCATATGTGAAATTCTTTTTTAAATGACTTTTTTTGGAAGTCAGTTGGCCAGTCATTATGTGCATACAGACCCAAAGCCATTTATGTCCACAGCAGAAAAATTTTGATACTTTATTGTTATCGGAACCAGATTCAGAAATGTAGGTATGTATTATATATATATGTACATATGTATGCATACACACACACACAGACGCACATACATACATTTCCGAAGCCAGTCTTGATAATAAAAAAGTACAAATTCTCGGTAATTGTGGAAAGTTTTAGAAGATAGTACAAGTCTTCATCCTACAGAAAGAAATTTTTATTATTAACCTTAAGCAGGATTTTAGATCCGTCATGAAGATCGTTATTTTGTATAATTGACTTTATTAACTGAGTTTGTATAATTACTTATTTTAGTCTGTATTTTTATAAACTTACGTTCATTAAGATGATATTCGCATTATTAAAGAAAGTAAGAAAGCAAAATATCTTAAATTATAAGCTAATCTATGCCAAGTAGCAAAACTTCTGATGACCGGATAAAGCCGGTCATAAAACTCAGAGGGTTAAAATAAACTAATCCACCTTCAAAATTATTCAGTTTAATATCATTGTTATGTATCTTGAGTGAAGCTAGGGTAAATAAGATTAAAGACATTAATACAAAATGTAGAGAGTGAAATTATAATTTTGACTTTCCTTTCTTTTTTAATATATAAGTATCTAAAAAGATAAAAAAGAAATTTGGCATTTTTTATATTTAAACTAAAAAGGAATTATTTTTTTCTTCTAGTACGCAGAAAAATGTGATATGTCAATTTCCACAGCAGAAGCTTCAAGGGTATCATCAATTCGAAAGCTGTCAAGAAAATTGCTGGTGCAAAATACATGGGTTGCAAACCTGTTTCTTTTGTAGTTATCATCATAAAAATGTTTTCTGTAGATATTTTCAATTGAACTGATTAAAAGTAGTTTTTCTAATTGTTTTCATTTTTGAAAAAGGTTGAGTTTTGGCACATCATGTCATTTAGTATGGCAATTTATGACATTTGTGTTCATACATGTTCATGTTAATATTTCTTTTTATAATGCGAGACTTTTATAAACACTGTAAATTTTCTTTATTCAATGTGCTGTTTTATATCAAATATGAAAGGAATAAATTGGAGAGAATGTATATTATTTCTGTTCAACATTTTAATATTTAAGCCCTACATTTAACTTTTTTAATATATGTGTACATGTATTATCTAAATTTTTTTATACTTGTAAAATTATTTGAAGGACCTTTTTCACACCTCATTTTGTCTAAGTTCCAAAATATAAGATCCATTAATATATTAACTATAATTTTTGTTATTCTGCCACTCTGAAATATACCTTTAAAACGACTTATAAGCTTAAAATTCAACAACTGGGAATTTTTAAGGACTTGATCTTTAAGAATGTGTAAGATTTGTAAGTTATTTGTAGTTAGTTTTATTTACCTTTCTGAAATTCACAGATCATCTTAATAATTTTGTAATATTATTTTAATAGTTTCCTTGAAGAAATAATTTACTTGAAAATGATCATCAAAGTATGCTGTTTTTTTTTTTTTTTTTAAGGAAATTTTGCAGTAATTAAATTTTTCGATGATATACACCGTTGAAAGCACAGTATAAACTCTAGTGAGGGAAAAGTTAACCTAAAATTAAAATTGGAATGACCACTTTACATTTTACTTCATGTAATTCATCAGCTTTGTTAAGTCTGTGCCTGATGTCTTTAACATTCAAATGTTAATGAAGCTGTCTTAAAAGATTTTTGAAGTCATGATGAGCAGCCATTCATCATCATTGATGCCATGCAGTAGTGTATTTAGAGAAGTATTGCTTCATAGTTACAGAATTAGCAGCCATTTTCTGAGATAGCCCATTCCTTGTTGCATAAAATTTTCTAAAAAGCACCTTTTGTTCCAAAAATTTTATTCAACAATTGGTGCTGGAGAGCCTAACACTCAGTCACAAAATCAAACATCAGTGTATTGTTTTTTCAAGACAGTGAGAAAAACCTTAAAAAACTGAAAAAAATTAAAATTGATGCATCCTTTGGGCTGCTAAAAGAAATAAATTTACTAACAATGATTTAACTTGCTTGAAAATATGTTTTATTGTTTTTGTGAATGAAAATAATCAACTCCCCCCCCCAATTCCACACAGTGAAATGGTTTAAATTGATTAGATATATTGCTGTGTTACATATGAATAAATTATAAACATAAAAATATAAGTAACAAAAAATTTTCTTTTCTGACCAGTTTTTCTCACCATGGAAGAATTTTGCTAACCCTGTGAAGAATACACCGTTTCCAAAATCTTATTTTACGATGATGCCATTTGCAATGCGCTAAATTTTGTATAGCAGAAAGGAATATCATTTATGAAATTTCATGTGAACTACATAATGTAATTGAGATGAAAATTGAGCAGTATTAGAGGAAATATTTTCCTCTTTTAAATTTATCCATTCAAAATTACAAAATAGGTTATTATATGCAAAGGCATTGATTTATTACAATTTCTGCTCAATTTATCAAAGAAAATATTTTCTGCTTTGTTAAATTGTTATATTCAATTATGCAATATAATTTTTAAAAATTGAATTTTTTCTAGTTTCATTCTAAATTATTTTCCTATTTTTTATTTACATAAAGCAACATTGAGTTTTAAAATCGAACTAAGTTCAAAATCAGATTTGATTTCCAAAAATACCTGTGTACCCTCCTTCCAAAAAAGAAACACCATATATAAACAAAGTAAAAGAAAAGTTATTGTAAATATACGTATGAAGCTAGTTAAATTGTATTGAAACTGAAAATATATAAATTTGTAATAAATCAATGTTACAAATGACTAAAATTAAGGTATAATAATATAAATGAGTTCATAAATTAATAGCAGAAGAAACATTCTAGTTCTGAGTGATGGTGACAAATTTTCTGTCTAGATTAGTCAAAGGCATGAACGATACTGTTCTGGGGAGAAAAGAAAACAGGAAAGGGGGGGAAGAGGAAGGATAGAAAGGGTGATGGGCAGAGGTGAAATGATAAATGCTACTTTCAGACACTGGAAATTATAAGGGTTATGTAGAATGAGTTATGGGATGTTCAGTGCTGATGTATTAATTAAACTTTTATCTTAATATATATGTATGCAATATATTACTGACATTCATATTGCTGTTTTTTTTCCTCAGAGCTTTCTGATTTGCATTTCACTGAATATAGTTTCTATTAATGAGATCTGAAACGGTATCAAATTTTACTCTTAAATTTTGTCTCATTCAAAATATTACTTCTCTAAAGTCTTAGGCTAAAGATCTGTAATGTTTTTTTTTTTTTTTTTTTTTTTTATTAAGAAAACATATTTTAGAAATGCAAAAATTTGGCAGCACCATAGTACTTAATGAAATGTCTGTCTACACTACATATTTAGCGATTGGTACAGTTAAATTGCATAATAAATGTACACTTTTTTCTTTAAAATTTATGAAACAAAATTATTCTTCCCACTTTTCATTAAAATAATAAATCTTCTGCCTCATATTTCTTTTTCCATTGTGGTACTCTGCTTACAACTTGAAATTCAAATTTATGAAATGACAAGTTTATGTACAAACATAAGTTATGGATGTAAAGCTTATTATGTCATGGTTAGACAGATTATACAAGGACAGTGAAGGCAAAAAATAATTCATTGTATGCAAAATCAGATTTTCTAGCAGTAGAAAATTGATTCATGTACTGTTAATAGATATTGCCAAAATTCAGCTTTTGTCAAATGTTTTAGTTGTACAATTAGTACATTTGTTAAAATGGCAAAGGTAAAATTGGAATTTTTACTAAAATTATTCTTCACATATTGTGTCCTTACAATGTGTATTTGTTGTCCAGATATCTAAAATGTAGAATTTAGATATTTGAACGACGGGTACTTCAGAATTGTTGTCGATCCCTGTTAAAGACTAATAACCTATGCATGACAAATAGAAAGTGATACTTTAATCACTCATGGTGATGGAAAGTGAATAATATGATCTTAAAATAGATTGAATAATTCAAGTAGAAGAAAAACCAAGTACTTTATTATATTAGTCAGATAATTGTTGTATTTAGTTGCATATAGAATTTTTATATGATTTCGAAATATTTCATTATCTCTCGTAATTTTCCTCCTGAAAGATGAACTTTCACAAATTGCATTTTTCACAGGTGCATTTAAAATAAGCTCAAATTCTAAGACAAGTCATTTCTTTTTCTCCTACTGATATAGAAAGGTAAATGAAGCTTCAAGTGACAGTGTGTCTTAAATTGGCACCTGGGGAAAAATTGGTTCTATTCCATTGTAGTGGAAATGGCAAATAAAATATCATGCATTAGTGCACTTGATAGAATTGTTAGAACTATAAACTATTTTGGTGGAACTTGAAAAAGGGAGTAGAGATTGAAAGTAAAGACTGTAGTCTTTAGGGATTCAATTTTCATGATGTGTTTTAACACCAACATTACAGCATTTTCTATATACCTATAACTACTATTAGCGGTCATTTTGACTGCTTGTTCTGAATAAAAGAAAAGGCTTGCTTTTTGTTAATATTATGTAAAATTAATGGTTATAACATTTTGCTTATTTAATAAGTAGATAAAGTAAATTGAGTAAATACATGCAACTAATAGATAATTTAATGTAACAAAGAACGAAATAAAAGCAAAGTGAGTAAATTTATTAATCAAAGAATAATTTATTATAATAAAGATCTAAAAGAGAAATAAAATCACTAGATATTTTTAAACTTCTTATGATTTAATAACTTGTTTCAGTCAAAACAGTCCAGATGGATAAACTGGATGTAGTTTCGTTATGAAATTCTTCATCAGGTTCAGTTTCTGAAGCAAAATTATTACACTCAAAAGTCATTAATCCGGACTCGTCGGGACTTTGGCGATTCCAGATTATCGATTTTTCCGGATTATAGATCATCAGTTTAAATCTCGTAAGATGGCATGCAGAAATTCTAAAATTAAAAATATGAAAACCGTTAATTTATGAAATAAAGAACAATTATGATCTAAAGGGTATCAAAATTAAAAAAAAAAAAAAAAAGCTTAATATTTATTTGTTTACTTTATTAAACATTTCTTTCAATGTAAGTTGTTTAAGTTGCTTCGTTTTATGTGATAATACTTTCTCTTTAATTCTATAAACAGACATAATTTCTTGTTCAGTTAAAAGTTCCGCTGTTCAAGTCCCGTTAATTGCTGTGCCGAGAATACCGACTAACTGGTCAATCGGAAATTTTTTCGTTTTCACTAACCTCTCTGTCACATTTTCATGTCTTTATCCATTTTTTCAGCAATTCCACTTTTTGTTTGTTGGACATGAAACATACTTTCGTTTTGTAGATCCTTTGGAAGTTCCAGCATCGGAAATTCTATTTGACATAATCGAAAGTTCAAGTTTACTTTTATAAAATTGCTCTTACAGTCTGCAAAAATAATAAGCGGGATCCAATTCGAAGATTAAGGAACAACGCAATCATTAACATGAAATAGATAATTAGATAATTTTAGCTTACACCGTGTGTTATACATTAAACGCGCAGGCGAAAACGTATTCTGCACTTGCGCACACGCATATGCGCAGTAGTCAAGGTCTTACGCGCACGCCTAAAACGCCTATGCGCATGTGCCAACGCGGCGCATGTGCAGAAAGTTTTTAGCTTTGAGGTCCGTATTATAGATCATTCCGGATTATGGGTGTCCGAATTAACGACTTTTGACTGTATCAGAAAGACTTTCAAAAATCTTTTAGTGTCTCTTTCTTCGTTAGGTATTTTCTGCCAACAATTCTACGCGACATGATAAGCAGGTCAGAAAAACAAAACTATCCAAATGAAGTAAAGTACGTTTGTGTCTACTGAAAAATAAATTTACTAACGCA